GTGTCTTGGCTCAATGAGCTTTGGTTGCTTCAGTGTTTTGAAGGTTTTTGAGATCAAGTGATCATTTTGAGTTTTTGTTTTTGATTGATTTTTTGGTTTTTTGAGTGTCCTTTACCCTGTTCACCCCTTCTTGTATTTATAGTAAAACTGTTTCTTCTCTGGAGTAGGGTGATTGTGTTTTTTTATTGGGCGGCAAAGATATTTTCCCCCCTTTTCCTCTTCTTCTTCAGTTTTGGCAGATAGGCTCTCAGATAGGCGATCACTTCCCTGTTTTTCAGCTGCCCCTTGTGATATTTTACCCGTGATGGTTAGTTTGATTCCTTTTCTGGACAGCTCCCTGCTTTCCTGCTTATCCCTCTCTGAGATTGTAACTTGCTTATCTCCTTGGGAGAATTACCTTATCTGAAAGGACAGAAGAAAAAATCTCTGAATATACATATATAAGAGGGATTTGATCTTCAGTTCTTCAGAATCGACTTGATGTCATGAACCCTTCAATCGCTTCTTCTATGGCAGTTGCCATTGCTGACTTCCGCCATTGCTGACTTTTTAATCCCAGAAGTTGCCATTGCTGACTTTTTAAACCCAGAAATTGCCACGTGAGATTGTTCCTTCTTCTGGACTCCCTCTTCCTATTATGTTGGGCCTGTGAGGCCCAAATCAGCTTTGTTTGCTCTGATGAGCTTTGGGCTGGACTCTTCTGGTTTTTTGGGCTTCCTTCTTTTCGCTGGGCTGGATGTGTCAATTTTTGGCCCAAACAGCGGCCATTTTTTAGCGTGTTTTAAAAGACGACGCTTTTAAAAATTTTAAAAAAAATTGTCATCTTTACATATAATAGACGACGGTTTTTTTTATAAAAAAAGCGTCATCTTTACATATAATAGACAACGGTTTTTATATTAAAAAAACGTCATCTTTACGTACAATAGACGACGGTTTTTTTATAAAAAATCTTTACATACAATAGACGACGGTTTTTTATAAAAAGCGTTATCTTCATATACAATAGACGACGGTTTTATAAAAAACGTCATCTTTACATACAATAGACTATTTTTTACCACTACACTCCTTGACCCTTTATGAATACAATGACTGAATTTGATCTTCAATTTAAAATATTTACACTAATGGATACCACAAAATTTTATGTTATACTTAACGAAAATATAAATAAACTCTTAATTGTTAGTGAATATTTTTTTTTTATGGCATACGCATTTTATGAAACTAGTTTCAATAATCCAACCTTCAAAATTGTTTGTTTATATTTCGAGATCATATATGCCAAAAATCGAAAAAAATAAACATTCAGAGACCAAGTAATTGGACAAAAAATTTCGACGGTTATAAATGAAAAATCATCATTTAACGGTTATTTAAACTCCGATTTTGTATGATTTTTTACCGCTACACTCCTTGACCCTATATGAATACAATGACTGAATTTGATCTTCAATTTAAAATATTTACACTAGTGGATACCACAAAATCTTATGTTATATTTAACGAAAGTATAAATAAACTCTTAATTGTTAGTGTTTTTATGGCATACGCATTTTAAAAAACTAGTTTTAACGATCCAACCGTCAAACTTGTTTGTTTATTGACAAGACCCGACCCAAATTCCACTTTAGAATCCGGGCCGAACCCTGTTTGTGATCGACACCTGGTGGTTGCCGAACACAATTGACTTGGTTGCCCTTTTTGATTAAAAACTTAATTCCCTTAAATCCTGACTTCTACCGAAAATTCGGCAGAGTCTCTCCTGTAAATTGAACGTTCCCAATATTTACACCTGTCAACAAGTACTTAAATATATACACCAACTGCCAGTATACAAAAATAAGTAAGTTCCAACAGTTAAATACGTTTCAAGGCAATATCAAAGCATCTATACAGGTTTATTTACAAAGGAGGTAACCGTTGTGGCAAGAAACCCTACATCAAAGGGGGGAGGAGCGGGAAGCGGGGAATGTCCTGTGGTGGCTCTCAGATGCACGTCTACAGCCTGGGGGCGTAAAACATTAAAAAGGTGAGTGGACCCCAAAGACAAAGTTTAGAAAATAAGTAACAACATACTAACCCCACAGTAAAAACACAATTATACAAAACTAACTCATTTTCTTTATCGTATACATGCTGAAATCAATGTATTCATGCATTATATACCAAACACATTCATGGTTAACATGAATCTTGTAAAGGACTAAAATCCGTGGGACAGTAGTCAACCTGATCCGCATTCCTGGCTCCGCACGAGTCCGGGTACCAAGGAACTCGTGGGGCAACTGTCAAGCATGCTGACTAAACAGAAGGCAACTGATAAAATCCAAAGGCAACCTGGATGTCCGTGGACATCATCATATCCGAAGGCAACATCTGTATATCTGGGTACCTACGGTGGCTTAGAAAATAATAATAATAGTAATAAGCAAAGTTTGTTGAAAGATCTGATAAATAACTGAATTTCTGTTACGGCTGGACTCTGCTGCCATTTATCAGATGTTTAACTAAAATTCTATTTTCCTATATCTCTAAAGGATATTCCACTCAGCAGCATGCAAATCAAAATATTTAAAAGCATGTCTCACTTATAAAACACTATTCTTTGAATAAAACTTATTCAAGATCAAATACTGAAA